CACATTCAAGCGGTGCATTTAAATGAGTATTTGTTTCAGATTGTTAGATGTTTTCCCTTATTTCAAATGTGCTAACAGCTATTCTGATGAGCTTCATCAGCATGTTATCGTCTGATGTTCCATTTCACATGGTGCTACACATGAATTTTGGCGTGGTTCTCTTTAACGTTATTTTTGATTCCGTGCCACATTGGGTACGAGTTCAGCCGGTTGACCTATTAGTATTAGATTGCAAATGTTCAACGCTTCCAGATAAACGGTGCAGCCTGTAATTATAAGAAGCTGTTGGCTGTTGCTGTCCAGTGCTTACGAGATAAAGTGCTTCCCCAGTCACCCATGCTTGTCACCGGTTAGGACTATCCAGCGCGCTAACGGATAGAGCTCAGCCGTTGTTTTGATCTCTGCGTGTGGAGCGCGTGATGTGCTGCATAGGCGTGATGCCAATGTTGAAGGAATGTAGGTCAGATAGGGTGTACAATTCCGAAACACAGTGTTTAGGAAGCTATGAACAGGGACCTAACGCCATATTATCTCTACGTGCATCACATTTGGTGCATTGTTAAGCCATCTAAATTTCTGTGCGATTTGTAGCCAGGTGCACTCTTCTTCCAGTCGTGTTAACCGCACAGCCTTGTTTGCTTGTTCTGCTTACCAGAACGCCATCAGATACATCCGAACAACGGCTTTATCTACGCAGCTAGTCTGACTTCATGGTGGGATTGCGATAGCGTTCCACACTGGTTAGCAATCGAATTTGGAACATTTCATCTTGGTCGTCGCCTATTCTCCACTTCTTTTACTCTTGTTAACACAACTATTGCAGAGAAAATGCCCTACAGATGCGAGCATTGTGACAGATGCTTCTATCGGAGAAATAAATTAAAGGATCACATTGAAAGAGTGCATTTAAGTGAGTATTTGTTTTAGGATGTTTAATGTTTTCAATTATTCTAGGTGTGCTCACAGTTACTCTGTTGAATTTCATCGGACTCTCTGTACCACATGTGGTCATGTTTGCGCCAAAATTGGCTTTCGTTCTCCCTCGTGTTAGCGGCTTCAGAAATCTGAGCTGTTCCCTGAATGATTCAAGACTCTACGCACTAATGTTTCCACCTTGCTAGATTTTGAGACGTGTGAAACCCGATTACCAGGTTCGAAGGGCGCATGTATACGTGAACGTGCTCAGAATATTTCCAGTTATTTCTAACAGCAACCATGATTGATGTAGAATTTTCTGTGCACTATTCGTTCCGTGGTCTGCTGATTTTCTTTGGATAGGCACACTGCCGCCTGCCTTGTCAATTCGAAATAAGACATATACCGCTTTTCATTTTTAGTGCTATAGTTAACGCTCATATGAGCATGATGGGCCAGTTCCAGCATACCTGTAGAAACTTGGCTGGATCAGAGTGTGATATGGTGTTGACGGCTCTCCATTTGCAGGAGAAATGCCGAGAGTGACACTAGTCATTGTACTCGCTGTATGTTGACTTCAACACTTCATTCTATACGGTGAACCGCGATGCATTGTAGGTAGTGCTGGGTACGTTTGCTTGTCCGAGTAAGTTGGTATGTTTACTTGAATGTCTGCACAGTGGTCTGCAGGCGAGGATGCGGCTGAGTACTACAATCCTCGGATGGCTTTGCTGTTGTCTCCAGTGTTAAGCAATGCTGTGTCGTAGCCCCTACCCTGGTTTACTTTCACCTCTGTTCGACCATATCCTGTGCTCTTGATACTGCTAGTGATTACGGTGTCCGTGTTTAGCACCATATTGACGGTGGGTTGCTTGACACCCGTCGTTTCGAGGCGAGAACGCTAATGTGTGAGACAACCATCTATATGTTGCTGTCTGCAGTCGACTGTGCGTTGTTTGCGCACATAGCGGATGCGCTGCACCACATGACTTCGGCTTTCACTTCGACAACGGCCAAATTCCGACTCCCCATCAACACTAGCAAGACTGTCTGTCTTTTACAGCCTACATCAGAAATGCCATCCGTATGTTCGCCGCGAGTTCGTATCGGTGATGACGCATTGGAAACCACTCTGAGATTTTTCTACCTGGGTAGTGTACTTTCGACCGATTGGCAGATGATGAGCGAGTTACCTGTCCTAGTATCGAAAGCGGCTGCTGCGTTTGGAGTGTTGTAGAGGCATGTATATACCAACCACCAGCTTACTATTGGAACGAAGATGCTGGTATACTAATCGATTGTTCTGTCCGTTCTTTCATATGTGTACAATGTGCCAGATGGACATCAGATACCTGGAGCGATTTCGTCACGAGTGCCTGTGACGGATGCTGCACATCGGTTTGCGCGACGGCGTTGCAGACACTGAAGTACTGCGCCACCTTGACATGTATGCGGTGAACTGCATAATTATGCTGCGGCACCTGAGTTGGCTGAGGCATGTCAGCCGGATGACGTCGACCAGGATATCCAACCAGCTTTTGTTCGTGTAACTTAGTGCAAGGAAGCGGCACTTGGAAAAATCGAGATTGCGTCGCCAAAATATGGTCAATGTGAGTTTATCGCAATCTGATGTTGATGTTTGATGTTGAGAATCAAGTGCATCTGATCGGCGCGATTGGCGTGAGCTGCTCAGGACGGTGGTTTACTAGGTGCAGCAGAAAGCATTACTACATGCGGAGGGGAAACGGTGGGTGCGGAAGCGACAGGCACCGATGGATTCTAGGCCATGGTTCCTTAGCACATGCTTTTGCCAGTGCCCCAGCTAAGTGGGCTTGGTAAGCCGCGAGCGTGTCCACGTGGGACTGGCGTGCAAAAGACGACGAGTCAACTGATTATATAAGCATATTTAACACAGGCATTGGTAGGTGTGCTGTGTCCGGTTCCATACGATTTCCTAACCCAGGCCAATATGGCGGTTGATGTGGTGTGTGTGCTGCATCGTCGTTGCAGTTTGTCTATACCTGTGCCGGCTTGTTGAATGCAACGGTGAGGGCATTCATCGTCCAATTGAATTGACATTTTGAGAGAGCGGTTGGCTAGCAGCTACGGGTAGAACTTGTACAGGGTATCAGAAAATCAGCCTCACTAAATACGAGAAGTGAGTAGTGTACTGACAGTTGGCAACCGGAATGGTCGGAGAGATGAGCAAGACTACAAACGGTACGCGGTTCGTACAGGACCTGCTATTGGTCGCACCAGCAATGAGATCACATCTACGCACCTGTACCGATTTTACTTTCTACTTGGTATCTTTCCGTGGGTAACCCACTCTCTTTTCTACAGCTTGTCTTATTTGATGGTGGAATTGCGATTCTCAGCTTACCACACTGATTAGCAATCGATTTTGGAACACTTCATCTCGGTCGTCGCCGTTTCCTTGCTTCTTTTACTGTAAACATAACTTTATTTACTATTGCAGGGAAAAACCCTCACAGATGCGAGCATTGTGACAGATGCTTTTGTCGGAGCAGTGTGTTAAGAAGGCACATTGCATCAGTGCATTTAAGTGAGTATTTGTTTTAAGGTGTTTGATGTTTTCCATGATTCTAAGTGTGCTCACAGTTACTCTGCGTAATTTCATCGGACTCTCTGTACTTCATGGGGCTACGGGTTGTGTGTTTCATGTGGTCATGTGTGCGCCAAGATTGGCTCTCGTTCTTCCTCGTGTTAGTGACACCAGAAAACTAAACTAATCATTGAGCAAGCAAGTCATGGTACTACGCACTGATGATACCACTTCACTTGATCTCGAGTCCTTTGAATGACGATTGTCAAGCTCCGCGAGCACATTTCCGCGGCTGGACGGCGAAGCTTAGGTCACAGTGATTCGAGTAACTTTGATATTTAGCCATGATGGATTTAGAATTTCCTGCGCATTATTGGTTCCATGATCCCCTGATTTTCATGGGCTGGGCACACTCGACCGCCTGGCATGTACTTCCGAGCGATCACATATAGTGTCTTTCTCTGTTGGTGCTGTAGTCGACGCCTATGTAAGCTGGATGGGCGTGTTAAAATAAATCCCTACAGACCGATGACGAGATCGGAATACGATTGCGTTTTGGAAGCAAGTCATCTTAGAAATTGAGTTCATCCTGTGATTGATATGTGGTCTTGATTCTTTTGGAAGCTGCTGGATCCCTGGGGTACCATTACATTATCCTGTAAATCGCCCTCGTCATTCCCAAGCTCAGCGTACTACTATTTCAATGGTTATGCACTTGTGAGCGCAACGCTACACGAGGCGATGATGGTTGTTAGCATATTTCTCTTCCATTGCTCTGTTTATTAGCAAATCATTTAAAATGATTCGAAATACCGGTAGCTCGGGTTGATGAATCAATTGTTCATTTGTTCTCCGAGAAAACCGCCAAGCTCGGAGAACAAATGAGCAAATCATTTGCTTCAACACACGTTATACCATATATGGTTTGCGGCATGCGGTTCTGGGTTTGCCCGTCACTGTGGGCTTCCATAGCACATCCACAGGACGTCTGCACCTACTGAGGGACCATGGATGGTTTGCGCCGCACCATCCACAGCTCCATTCACACACCTCATATCCAGTGTAAACCCGAAGGAATAAGACCGGAAGGCACGTGGATGGGAGCCACGTTTCACCAACGGACCCGACCCACATTCCTTCAACAACCCGAACAGAGGCGTTCCGGCCTACTTGGTAATCACGCACACCAGACGTACACAAGGCGGTGGCTGAATCGTAGCCCGTTCTACACAGGATGGAACCACTTTGAGCTTAGCACGGCCACGAGGACCGTGCATCTCGTCCCCCAGCAAAAACGCAGTCTCCTGGAGCCAGTAATCGAGATGGAGTGTGTTAGCCAGATAAGCACCTTGTCAACATGTATCTCAAGCGCAGCCACAGTGGGGATATCAGACAACAAAATTAGAGTGTAAGGGAAGACAGGCACTCACAATTCTCCCTGCAAAACTTCATTTCGAGGTTTGTGATCAATTCACGCTTTCATCTCACCTGAATACTGTACCATAGAGCATGTAGAAGTGAATTTTGTACAACTCTTTCAAAATATGGTGCAAAACGTCAGCCATGAATATCGTTATCGTTCTCACTTAACATGTAAACTATCTGACTCATGGTATTGCAGGACTCACGGATGTGAGATGTCATCGTAAGTGTGCAACCGTTATCTGAATCGAATACTGGTAAAATATAAATCTAACAACGTCCTGAACTGCTGCACAGATGTTGCCTCCATCACATGTTCAAGCAAACTGTTCCAATTATTTACCACTCACCGTTGGAGGCACAGTGGGTGGGGAACTCGCTTCACATCCGGCACGACAAGTTTGTATCTTTGTCTGCGTGTGTTGCATGGTCCTCGTGAGTGCAGCATTGTACTCAGTATGGGGAAGTCACCGAGATGTAGGATACGGTAAGGCATAATGAGATCGACTCGCACCCGACGGTAGGACAAGATGTAGAGTCCTAGTTTCTCGCACCGATCTTTATACCCCAATCCACGTAAACTCGGGATGAGCCTGGTAGCAACATGTTGGACCCGTTGGATCTTTTGTGCCTCGCCTCGGATAATCGGAAAGTAGGCGGGCGAACCGGACTCTAGCATTGGTCCAATGATGGAAGAGAAGAGGCGAGTGGCAACCTCTACAGACCATGTACCGAAGGAACGTTTGAGCGCCCAGAGCATTCGCAGTCCGTTACGATATAGCCTGTTCGTGTTGTCGACGGACTTCAAATCGTAGCGCGAGAGTACACCTAATTCCTACACGGAGGGTGTGGGATGTGGCGGTTGGCCGCCAAGGGTGTAGGTTCGGCCGTCAGCATTCTTTCCCAGGCTCATAACTACAGACTTGACCGGGTGATGAACTTCTGCAGATCATGCGGATAGGCGGTTAAGGTATTGCTGAAATAGGCCACAGTCGCCGGGCGCGTCA